AAAATTTATTGTATTGATTCTAATGAAATCAATTGAATGTTAAAAATCTTAGACTTACTTTTCATTTTGTATTGTGTTATTAATAAAAATATATGTTTCCTGGGGTTTTTCGGCTCCAAAAAAAAAAAGAGGATAGGTAGGTATACTTATAAGGAAACACATTTTATTTTATTTTTTCATTTTGTTTTATTTTCTGGTGAAGAAAATCTACTGATTACCTCTCTGAATGTTAAAAATATGTTATTTTTTAATAAAGTATGAAAGGCACCAAATATGTTTTTTGATTGATGTATAATAAATACACAAATGCATCAACAGTTTTTGTGTTGAGCAGGCTCCAACAACACATTTAAGTAAATTATTATTTGACTCACTTCAATGTTTATGGATCCAACCAACTGTAATTTACAGTAGTGCTACCACCAGTGTTACATTTCTAAATTATCCCTACAGCTGGACACTAGTTTTTAGTAATCCAAATTCCACTGATGGTCACCAGTGTTATGTTTTCTGTTCTCAATTTCCATTGCCTCCAGTTCAAATTAATTGAACAACAAAATAAGTATATTTATATTTACAAAACAAGTTTGTTAATCAGTTAAACTTTACAAGTCAATCTCTCCACTTCAAACTTAATTATCTCCAAACTGTAAAACTGCACGGATCTACAAACTACAGCTAATACTACTTTTATAACTAACTTCCTAATTCTCACTTTAACTCTAAACTTCCCTCTATATCTCTTGACCTCTTAACTTGGTCTCACGAACTCAACCTCCTTCCTCAAGACTCTTTCACTCAATTCCCCAACCCAACTTTCTTCTCCTCCTTCGACTCCCAAGCTGAACTACCTTATCATATCTACCCTTTATATTAGCAAAATCCCGCTACAATTGTTGATGATCCTGAAATCCTGGCCCTAAATCCTGCTTAATTTGACTATGTTGGTCAAAATCAGCTGGAGGCACAAACACCAACATCACAAACTGGATCCCCCCCCCCCTAGACTACAGACAGTCAGACTAATCTACAGATCCCAACCTATATCATAACCACAATTATTTGGCCTAAGATATATTTTTTAATGCTGTATTCAATAAATGTGAATTGTGAAAAACACAGTGAAAATCTGAAGATGAATCTGAAGTTACGACATGTTACAAATTCATTCTGTCCTCTATTCATTGCACGTTATTAAAAGTTCTGAGCAGGGAAGAGAAATAAATGTACCGGGTATTCTCTTTAATTCAAATGTGACTCAAGCTCTATGATTTCAACAGCCTTTAAAAAGGGTATCTTGGCCGAAGTTAGTCGATGTATGAGTAGAAATTTCCATATGAAGTCTTTGCAAACATCTTTCACTTAAATATTTTGAAGCAGAATCAATAATGGGCCTTTCATTATCGTCAACTGCATTTTGTGCTTCAGTGTTGCCTTCAACACCATATAACTCAAGTTCAGATTCCGTTGATATCTCATTAATTCCCACTGGATTTTGGAGTTGTCCCGACATCCAAAAAGTTTGTGGTGAAGATTTGGCTGTGCGCATCCGATGCAGCGACCATGCATCTTGCCAAATTTGCAATTTTGCATTAATTTTTGGTAGAAATGTGAAATGTAATGCAGCGATATGTAGTTCATTTAATGGATCCAAAACTTGTTCATCCTCCATATGATAAAAATAATTGGTAGTAGAATGACAACACACCGGAATACACATCCCTCCATAAACGTTCAATTCGTTGGTTATGCACACTCTTACCAGTTATCATACTTCCTCGCCCTGTTCCTCTCTTTGACAACATGTAGTCTGCAATCGATGAATTTTCCATGCCTTTGTCTGACCGAACCCGAAGGGGAAGGCCATATCTTTCAACGCCTTCTTGAAAACATAGCAACAATGTCTGTGATTTGTTGTTATCCAAGCAACGAAGGTACATAATTAGCCTGCTGAAACCATCTATACCTCCAGCAATAACAAAACTCCAACGAATGAGTTTGTGGTTTGTATCTATATGCCAAAGATGATTCGGTCCTTGTACATTGTATACCCTACGTTTCAGACACCCTTTCTTCCTTTCTTTCACACCTTCATCATCAATACGATGAATAGACTCCCTTAAACGCCACCGGGGTACACAGATTCCACTTTTTTATTATTTGTCCGAGAATATTTTCCCCGCAAAATGGAAAGTCTTTTATAAAGTTACCAATGCGTAAATCAAGTTCCTCATCATTAATATTTGAAAAGTCCAACTTCGAAATACCATTTCTTTGCATTCTTCTATACACAGTTCTTTCTGAAACCGACAATAGCTGTGCTATTTCTTTGACGGCAAATCCGTCACAGACAAGGTCCGAACAGAGACCTAAAGTAAAGGTCCCGTTAATTTAGGTCTATGGTCCGAAAGAAGATTTTCGGGGATATTAAATTCTGTATAGCTACAGTCATTCTCGGTTTTGTGTGAATGTTGATGAATATTGGCGTATTTTATACTCGCCGTTCGCAATTTTACCATATCCTCACGTCTGTTCACACCGAGCTGAATAAGTTCAACCGAAGAAAGCAAAGAAACGACACCGGGAAATATATGTTCCGATACAAATCGTTCGTACAACCCTTCCAATCCACATTTCACCAGAACTTCTCGAATATTACCACATTGTCTTTCCTCCATTTTTTGTTGAATCATAATCTGAGAAAACGCGCGAGAATTACGAACAACCACGACACGTCTTCCGAAAGATCTTAATAACACGAAACCGTGACTATGTAACATAATAAAATGATGACATGGCATACAATAGAGACCATATATCGTATAAAATGATAATGTGAAATATAAATTGGACCATATAACGTATATTTGGAATCAAACAGCATAGTTAACTGATAATATAACTGTCATTGTGGACTATATGAAATATTTTATTGACGATGTGACATAAAACCGTGATAAAACGACACCTTGAACTGACCATTTAACATAGATTTTGCACCAAATAGCTTGTACCGGGGACTATAAAACTCAATAACTTGACAATATAACGTAAATTGATGACCATATAACATATTAAATTGTCAATTAAACATAAATTCCTAACCATATAATGTAATAAGTGACAATATAACATATATTTGTAACCATATAACATAAAAAAAATTGACAATATTACGTAATATGGTGACCATATAATATAATAATTGGACAATATAATGTATGCTTGTGACCATATGCTATAATAAACTGACATTATAACATTAATTGGTGACCATATGCTATAATAAATTGACATTATAACATTAATTGGTGACCATATGATATCATAAATTGACATTATAACATTAATTGGTGACCATATGATATAATAAATTGACAATATAACATTAATTGGTGACCATATGCTATAATAAATTGACAATATAACATTAATTGGTGACCATATGCTATAATAAACTGACAATATAACATTAATTGGTGACCATATGCTATAATAAATTGACATTATAACATTAATTGGTGACCATATGCTATAATAAATTGACATTATAACATTAATTGGTGACCATATGATATAATAAATTGACAATATAACATTAATTGGTGACCATATGCTATAATAAATTGACAATATAACATTAATTGGTGACCATATGCTATAATAAACTGACATTATAACATTAATTGGTGACCATATGCTATAATAAATTGACATTATAACATTAATTGGTGACCATATGATATCATAAATTGACATTATAACATTAATTGGTGACCATATGATATAATAAATTGACAATATAACATTAATTGGTGACCATATGCTATAATAAATTGACATTATAACATTAATTTGTGACCATATGATATCATAAATTGACATTATAACATTAGTTGGTGACCATATGATATAATAAATTGACGATATAACATTAATTGGTGACCATATGCTATAATAAACTGACATTATAACATTAATTGATGACCATATGCTATAATAAATTGACATTATAACATTAATCGGTGACCATATGATATCATAAATTGACATTATAACATTAATTGTTGACCATTTAACATAACAATTTGACAATATAACATAAATTGATGACCATATAAAATAATAATTTGACAATTTAACATCAATAAGTGACCATTTAACATAACAATTTGACAATATAACATAAATTGATGACCATATAATATAATAATTTGACAACATAACATAATATGGTGACACTATAACATAATAATTTGACAACATAACATATGTTGGGGACCATATGGAATGCATATCTGTCTTTATGACATTGAATAGTAATAACGTAATATACTGTCTGTAGTTTTAAGGCAGCTCTGGCGTTCCATAGTAACTGTTGACAGAAGGGAGTCATGTTTTCCGCATGACTTGTAATGTGAAAAGAGGTAAGAATACGGGACCAGATAGAGTAGTTAGTGATGAGAAATTAAAATATCACTGAATCAATGAAAAGAAAACAAAATGCATATAAAACTAGCAAAACCAGTATAATTATTTAAGGTTAGAGTTCAGGAAAATTATTTTAGGGTTACTTCTAGATTTGTTGGTATGTCTGATTAGACCGAAGAGTCACAAGTACTTGGCTTTTTTAAAGTTATCCAAGGACCTTCCCCTAGCTTTATCTTTAAATACATCAGAATATTCTTATCGACAAAAATACCTAGATATTACATGAATTTCATTAAAAAAGAATAAATCTAAAATCCAACAGACTTATAACATACTGTTGTAGATTACTTTTATTTATTTCATCTTTGTATGCATATACGATGTGTAATAACGACATTATGATCGATTATTGGCACTGAATCAGAGCAAACACGACAAGCATGAAAAAACAAAATTGTGAAAATCGTTTGTGCAGTTTATACACAATGTAAAAAGTTGTAGACGCCTCCCATGTATCAGAGCATGTGTTCTATACGTGTTTCCATAGCGCAGAAGTCCCGACCTGGTCGTGCGTGTCCGATATACCTACTCACACGTCCCTCGATGTATAGAAGATGGCGGAGTCTCCACATCAAACTCGCTATCAGAGGTAAGTGTATGTACGCGTTGATGAGATCATGAGATGTCTGCATGGATATATATGTTATCAAATCATACACTGCCGAACATTCGCATCCCTATCGAAGTCACAAACATGCGACTCGCCACGATATATTACTAATCGACTCCCCACCTCAGCATTATCCCCATCACTCTCAAACGATCAATCATCTTTCCCTTCCCTACTCTCCTCAAACCAAAATCGCGCTCTGATATTTCCATCCAAACCAACCAACATCAACCGACTCGTCTGAAATCACTGTCAGTGACTCGCTCCACTTCTATTCCAATCACCACTACCAACTCGCCCAAAGTTTCCCATCCCTACATCAATCTTACTAAATATCTCCACTACCAACTCGCCCAAAGTTTCCCGTCTGTACCCCAAATTCAGTTTTTCACTTTCTATATAGCACCTCGTCCAGAAGGGGATATGTAGCAAAACGCTTGGTCCAAGTTTAAATATCGATTACAGTCGTCCCTCAGGGAGAGGGTACATGTATACGTTCACGTATGTATAATAAGGGAGGGGATAACTGTTGTATATTGAGAAAAGTTGTAAGAAATTGTTACATTTGTCAGTGTACAACAAAATAAAAGTGCACGTTTTGGGAGTTTGGATAAATTTTCTATAAAAATGCCACTCCCATGAATGGTTCGTCCATTTATGTATATACCATCAATGGGTGACATTTTTACCGAAATTATTTTCTTAACTTTTAAAACGTGTAAAATAACCATGAACACCTCAATATACATGTAGGTCAAAATATTTCTTGGACAAATGTCCATGTCCCTATGCTCGGCGTTACAGATGGTGTTCCCTGACGATAGCCTTCCTCTATAGCCGCAATGCCCTGATCGTCATCAGCGTCCTCGTCCTCATGGACTGTCTGTGTGTCCTCGGACAGATGATGGTCGAACTCCACGGCATGAGGAGTAAGTACAGACTTTACTGTATTACGTCTTAATTTATCTGGATTGATACTTCTGCGATGCTGCGCCTGTCGGTAAGTCGGGTTGGTGGTGTTTTGATTTGCACAGACTGCTCATAACTGGCTCGGTTTTGTAATTCACATAGTTTGTTCAGACGGTCAATCAAGTGAAAATGAAGACCCTTGCACAAGATACAACCTCTCAATTTAGCCTTTACACAATTAATTTAACCACTATACAGTAAATATCACCGCTATACAATAAATATAAACGCTATACAGTAAATATCACCGATATACAGTAAATATCACCGCTATACAGTAAATACAACCGTTATACTGTATATATTACCGCTATACAGTAAATATAACCGCTATACAGTAAATATCACCACTATACAGCAAATATTACCGCTTTAAAGTAAATATGACCACTGTACAGTGAATATTACCGCTATACAATAAATATAACCGATGTACAGTAAAAATAACCGATGTACAGTAAAAATAACCGATGTACAGTGAATATAACCGATGTACAGTGAATATAACCGCTATACAGTAAATATAACAGATGTACAGTGAATATAACCGATGTACAGTGAATATAACCGATGTACTGTGAATATAACCGCTATACAGTTAATATAACAGATGTAGTAAAAATAACCGCTATACAGTAAATATAGCCGCTGTTCTGTTAATATAGCCGTTCAACTTCCAGGGCATAATGTAAAATACAGTTGAACCTGATTTCATCGATATCTGACTTTAATGACATCCTGTAATATGTCTTGTTCCTGACTTAACCGATTCCCGACTTTAAACTTAGCTGTGAATAGGACGTTAAACGAAATTAAACCTGACTCTAAAGACAACGAATTATAAAGTAAAACAAGATTTTAATGACACCTGACTTAGGGACCTTCTGTATAACAACCAGGATTCCATGGATCCACTGCATTTCTTCTTAACTGCGGTTTTACTGACATACCGTTGCTTTCATTTCTGTATTTAACAACGGGGTCCGGTAAACAACGTTATCGGCAAACCTGTCTGAAATGCGTATGGTTTTGGTTTTAAAATTAAAAGAGCAGCTTTCCCTAATGATAATGTTAACGATTGTTATGGTAAGTTGATAAGTTCCATATATTGATTTGAGATATACCTGGATATCTAAGAGGCATGCGACATTGACATATTAAACTAAATCAGACAGGCCACGTGAATCTTCAAAAGTCTAAGAGTTAAACTACAAATACCTCGGTGATGAAATCGTCTCGTTTTTCAAACTTGATTTAATATACAATATTACATACAGAAAGATCGACCAGAGTTTGAATTTATTGACCGCATGAACTTTCATCTGAAGTTTAGGTTTTAAACTTTAATTATCATTTTCAGTAAATGTGAGTTGTGATGGCGGTAATATGAATTATATGATACAGGTACATGTATATGCATAGCATAAAACTGTATTTTAGATTATTTTAATTCTACATCTTTTATTTATAACACTACCTCATCATATATACATTATTTATACTACATGCCTGTAGTGGTCCATCAACTGATTTTGTTTCAGTTCGATTTGAACTTGAGGAGGATAACATTCAGCTGTTTGAAAATCACCTGGAAAAGGCCTCAGCCAACGGAACGTCCCTTGGCATAGGAAGTGTCAGTGACATCGTGCTCTTCTTGCGAAACAACATGGACGTCATTTTAAATGATCGCTGCTCTAGTTATTGTGATCGCCAACATTTAACTTCTGTTCTTGGTGATAAGAGCATAGCCAACGTTGATTTACAAGTACTTAGTGATGATCCCTCACCGACAAACCAGCCCTGTAGAGATGGCCTCACCCCGACAAACCAGCCCTGTAGAGATGACCTCTCCCCGACAAACCAGCCCTGTATTGCATCTAACCATTTATGGATCCAGTTTAATGAGGGAACCGAGGAACTATTTGTTGTCGGTGAAATAGATCTGAATTTCAAGCGTCTAGTGGAGCACGAATCGCACGGAAATTTGGCAGATATATACAGCGTCACCTCAACTATCAATATAGTTGGAATAATCATCGAAGCGGTGATGTTCGTGGAGGTGAGAATTTAGCTTATTCATCCACTCGTCCGTCATTTCGTCCGTCCGTCCGTCCGTACATATAATACGATTATTCAACAGTTGATTTTTCTTTCACCACTTCTACCTCACGTTTTAATTGTTAAAAAATAATCAGAAATATATCACGCAGTGTCATGTCACAGGTGTTTGACATACAACGTCACACTTTGTGTCAAGTTTTGTGACGTCACACGTTTTACTATTAGTACATGTACACCCTGCCTCACATCGAATTTTACACTGATTAGAGAAATAAAAGCGTGTGTGTTTGTGTGGAACAGTGGCGAAATATATATCATTAATAAAAGAGTGATGGGATAAGAGTGACCTCGTGATAACTGATTATAATGTTTATACAATATTGGGAATCAAAATTAAAACAACACTTACTAAAGCTGATTATTATGCTTGAGAAAACGCTCACCTCATTTTAGTCAAATTGACACCCGGTCAAGCACAGTGAGCACAGAACCTGCGATTGTTGTTGTTTGCTTGTATGTTTTTTTTAGCTCACCTGCCCGAAAAGCGGCCTGTTCTCCGTCGTCCGTCCGTCCGTCCGTCCACTTTTCCTTTAAAACACTACTAGTCCTGAACGGCCCAGTAGATTTATACTTAAGAGCTATGGCGGAAATCTGCCCATATTTCGGCATTTATGAAAACGGAAAAAAATATTAATCAGTAAATAATTTCTAGCAGCGAAAATGCATAGAATAGATATAAAACCAATTGAATATGAATTTTTGAACTGCTGAGATACAGTATTAGGTATTGTTCATATGATACTGCAAATATAGCCATATCCACTATATCTATGAAAATGATGGGTTTTCCAGACTTAAAAAAAAATACTTTCAACACTTTCCCATCCGAGGACAAACTTTTGAATAAGTTTTTTTTTATTCCGTGATGTACTATGCAAAAACAAATCGTATTCCGTAAAAGTGGTCCTCCTTTTGAAAGTGCTCAAAATAATGAAAAACAGGGATGAGTGCGTTTTTTAAACTGCGACTGGTGTTTCTTTGGTTAAAACAGTTTGTATTCCCATCTACGTCTATGTCTGATGTAGCCGAATGTGTAACACAGTTAACTTATGACCAGACGAAGTAAACGTGTAAGTTCGAATCCACGTTCAGGTTTGTGTTTTTTTATAAATATTTAGGCATGTGATCTTTTCCCTTAATTAATTGATAAAATATTTTTCAAATCAATAATATATTTTATTTATATCTAAATTACATACCAATTGTTTTATCTTCTATGGAATCATGCCTACAAATCACTGTACACGTGTACAGTACAGCTACGCTTTGTAGATAAGACATCATCTATGAATTGTTTTTCCCTCGAATTGGCACTAGTAATCTTATCTATTATTTAAACACAAACAAATGATGTTGAAATACCAAAACAAAATGTGCGATTGTTGCGTCAGAATAAATGAAGGCCAAACAAACAATATGAAGTGTTATTATCACAAATATATTATCAAAAATACTGGAAAATTCATCGTTGAGTATAGTTTCATTTGTTTGAAATGCAGGAAGACTGCAGCACAAAGTAAGGATCGCAATACACGTGTAATACATGCTATTCGAAAATTATATGTATTGTTTTGCCATTCATATGTTTAGAAAAAAAAAAATCAAGATGTGATTTTTGTAAGAAAGCAGGTAACGGCATGACGTAGGGAGTAGTAATGATAATTAAATCCTTTCAAATCGTGTTGGTAATAATTGTTCGATTGTTACATACAGCATATTATCTGTTTCAAATTCATGGAAATAACGCGAAATAAAAGCATTTTGTTGAGTCGATATCGTGAACGCATGCATTAATAGACATGACCTTGAATTCGGCTGTTTATATTAATCAATTCTTAGACACAGGATTCCGATAAAGCTACCTGTTTGAAAATACCTGAGGACGCGTCATAACAGTACACGGTGACACGCGCGCACTAGCGGTCTCAACTTTGGGGAAATAGGCATATCAACCCGCCATAGCTCTTTGGTCTGGAGCATCATTGGGCCAAGGGCACTCGATTTTGTCTAAACGATGAGTGTCGCCCCACTTTGGGCAGAGGGGTGGGCCAAACAGGGGAAATAGGGGTAAACCTTTAACATCCTTCTAATACCATAGGGATTAAGTGAGTTCATCCCAATTTGGTCGGGAGCATCTTTAGGCCAAGGGCACTCGGTTTTATATAAACGGTGGGTGTTGTCCCCCTTTGGGCAGAGGAGAGGGGCCCAAAAGGGGAAATAGAGGTTAAACTTTTAAAATCCTTCTTCTAGCGTAGGGATCAAGGGATTTTATTCTAATTTGGTCCGAAGCATTTCAAAGGGGACTCAATTTTGTGTAAACGTTGGGGGCAGAGGGTGGCGCCAAATAGGGAAAATGGAGGTTAACCTTGAATGTCCTTCATCTACCATAGGGATTAAGGGATTTTATCCTAATTAAGTCTGAAGCATCCTGAGGCCAATGGGTCTCAACTTTGTATAAACAGTGGTTGTGACACCCTTGGGGCAGAGGAGCGGAGCCAAATAGGGGAAATAGAGGTAAACCTTTAAAATCATTCTTCTGCTATAGGGATTAAAGGATTTCATCCCAATTTGGTTTAAAGGATCTTTGGACCAAGGGCACTTAGTTTTGTATAAACGGTGGGCGTGGCCCCCAGGGGGTGAGGCCCAATAGGGGAAATAGAGGTAAAACCTTTGAAATCCTTCTCCTACAAGAGGGATTCAAGATTTATCCCAATGTTGTCTCCATCAAGTTGTCTAGTAGTACCTGTTACTATTAGGATGTATTCATTAAAACAAGAGGACCACCAGGCCGCCATCTTTGATTTTGACATTTGAAGTTTGCTCTCGCTATATCCCCAGAAATACTGGATGGATCTTTCTGAAATTTCATATTTACATAAGTACCTACCAAGGAGTGCTAGCTCTTTACCTCATATCAATTACTTTAAACATATATCCAGGTGAGCGATACAGGTCCTCTGTGCCTCTTGTGGGTAGAAACGATTTCGGAAACGGGATTTGAAGGCTAGCAAATAGTATGGTGGACGGTTATATCAATTGAGTAGTGTGTCGGATGACGTGTGGGAGTGTGTGGGTTGGGACTACACTAATCAGTGTTGTCTTTGTGTCTTAGATACAATGGGCACTTAATCCCTGTCAGTGTATCTCTAAAGGTTAAAGGTCAGACAGAGTGATCATCTTAATATCTATTTTAAGTAAGAATGGTACGTAGGGGTAATGTTTTTACACATGCATAGAGCAAGACGACTTATTGGTTTTAGGACCATTTCCTATTTGTCTAGGTTTCGGTGAGAACAGTTTGCAGAGGAAGATATTTCTACAGAAGGAAATTCGAGGTAGGTAAAGCTTCCTATGCTCCTTTATTATCCCGTCGGCCTCGCAACGAAAGTTCGAGGGGATATAGGATTCCGCTCGTACGTACGTACATGTACATACGTAAGTAGACTGACTTACGTACGTATGTAACACTCTTTGTCGTCACTCTAGCGACTTCATTCCTCAACAGAATTTCATGAAACTTCAAACAAGTATGAAGTAGGACAATACCTTGAACAATTTTGCGTTTCGGATTTCTACGATTAAGGTCAAAGTCACTGTCATTATTTTCATAAACAAAATTGTCATCACTCTACCGACTTCATTCCTCAATAAAATTAAATGAAACTGATCAAAGTGTTCTTTAACAAGTTCACGTTTCAGGTTTCTATGTTGAAGGTCAAGGTCACTGTTACTATTTATAAAAAAAAAAGACTTTGTAAGCACTCAAGCGACTTCATATAACTAAACGGAATTTCATGAAATTTCATGCAAATGTTTGGTATGATACAGTAATGCCTTTGACAGATTAGCGTTTCCGGTTTCTATGTTAACGGTCAAGGTCAATGTCACTGTTACTATTTATAGAAGAAAAAAACCTTTGTCATCACTCTACCGATATCATTCCTCAACCAAATTTCATAAAAAAGCAAACAAGTGTGTAGTATGGCAATGCCTTGGACAAATTCGTGTCTCCGGTTTCTATGTTTAAGGTCAAGGTCACTTTTAATATTTTAAAAATTAACTGTTAATTAATTGTTATCGCTCTACCGACTTCATTCCTCAACAGAATTTCATGAAACTTGATACAGTGTTTAGTATGGCAATATCCTGAACAAGTTTGCGCTTCAGATTACTTTGTTAAAGGTCAAGGTCACTTTTGCTATTTTTAGAAAAAAAAAGTGTCATCGCTCTATCTACTTCATTCCTCAATGCAATTCCATGAATTTTCATACACGTTTTTGATATGACAATGCCTTGAACAAGTATGTGTTTCAGTTTACAGCGTTAAAGGTCAAGGTCACTTTTACTATGTTTACCAAAAACTTTGTTCTCGCTCTATCGACTTCTGTCCCCAACAGAATTTCACGAAACGATATGGCAATGCTTTGCACAAGTTCGCGATTCAGGATACTGCGTCAACGGTCTAGGTCACTTTTTCCTATTTTTAGGGAAAAAAACTTTGTCGTCGCTCTAGCAACTTCATTTCCTCTTACATATGTCACAATGTGTGAATGCGAGAGGATTTGTATTTCTTGTGATGCCTTGTTAGGATATCAATGGTATATTACCAGTCCCTCCGTCTGTCTTTACATAATTCATGTTGGACATTCTGCTCGTTTGTATATATTTGTATGGTTCCTATTTGATATGTAACAGTCTATCCTTGCTTTGCTGTTCTATCGTTAGCAATTTACATTTGGATATATGCCTATGTATGTGTAGCTAGAAGCTGTCCGCCCGTCCTTTTCCCATTGAAACTAACGAGCTGGTAGTTGTTTTACCATTATTATATATTTGATAACTAATGGCCTGTCCATTCGTCTTTTTGTCCTACAGGTGTTCGATACCATCATTGTAGTTGTGGTATTTTGGGTTGATATAGGGTTCCTCTGTGGCAACTGGAGCGAGAGGTCCACCGATGCTACAACCATCCTTATTCTACTGTTACCATGGAGATTCGTCCGTGTCATCTTTAGTACGTTGACCTTTACTATCACGGACACTGTCCAATCTGTATATTATATATACACAGATGATTCTACCTAGACGCACGCATCGTTTACATTTTAACGATTTATATTTACAATTTCCTATGTTTTCTATCAATAACGCTGTACAAATATGATATCAAAATTTAGAGTATCGACGTGACTTTATCACGTGACAGCGTAAAGCACATACAGTGACGTTTTGTGATGTCGCTGTTATACTTCTAGGAGAGATTTATAAACGTATCCAAATACCAATATGTTCTTTTCATAGGCCAAGTGCACTTCAAATAGATTTAGAAGATAAATTACATATCGATACCAATCATGAACTTTACAAGTAGATGTGAAGGTATAATGTATTAAGGGTTGGCTATACATGAACTCTTCTAGAATGAGTTACTGTTGGAATGGTCAATAACATTTTTATATACACTACACTTACCAGTTCATGTATAAACACATACATGGATTTGATATTTACACGTGACCGTACATGTTTGATGTTACAGACAATACATAACACGTGCATCTTCGTAACAGGTATGATCACCGCTATAACCAACAAACACCAAATACAGACGCAGCAGCTGAAGACTGATAAACGGTTGACTGATGAGAGGCTAGCCCACGCGCGAAGTCTCGTGCTGCAGATGGAAGTAAGTGTGTCAGTCAGTCAATTCTAACCTCTACATCAGGTTTTATTGTCAAAGAGTGTTTCAGTCATAGAAGTGTACAATTTTCTTTTTCAGAAAGATGCAGAATCGTTAACATTGCTTTGTAAGCGAAAGGGAGCAACCAGAACCGACATCGACTCTTGTTACTGTAAGTGTTACTGTAATTAGATTGCCGCCGAAACTACTTTATGTTTCTGTAAGTAAGATTTCCGTTTACATCAAATCATGTTTCTGTAAGTAAGATTGTCGCCAACATCATATCATGTTTCTATAAGTAAGAATGTTTCTGTATGTAAGATTGTCGCCAACATCAAATAATGTTTCTGTAAGTAAGATTGTCGCCAGCATCAAATCATGTTTCTATAAGTAAGAAGGTTTCTGTATGTAAGATTGTCGCCAACATCAAAACATGTTTCTGTAAGTAAGATTTCCGCCAACATCAAATCATCTTTCTGTAAGTAAGATTTATTGTCGCCAACATCAAATCATGTTTCTATAAGTAAGAATGTTTATGTAAGTAAGATTGTCACCAACATCAAATCATGTTTCAGTAAGTATGATTTTCGCAGATCTGTAAGCAGATCATGTTTCTTTACATAAGATTGTCACTTACATCAAGTCATGTTTCTGTAAGTAAGATTTCCGCCAACATCGAGTCATGTTTTTGTAACTAAGATATCCGCCAACATCAAATCATGTTTCTGTAAGTAAGATTGTCACTAACATCAAATCATGTTTCTGTAAGTAAGATTGTCACCAACATCAAATCATGTTTCTATAAGTAAGAATGTTTATGTAAGTAAGATTGTCACCATCATCAAATCATGTTTCAGTAAGTATGATTTTCGCAGATCTGTAAGCAGATCATGTTTCTTTACATAAGATTGTCACTAACATCAAATCATGTTTCTGTAAGTAAGATTGTCACATACATCAAATCATGTTTCGCTAAGTACAAGTAAGATTTTCGCAGATCTGTAAGCAGATCATGTTTCTTTACATAAGATTGTCAGTAACATCAAATCATGTTTCTATAAGTAAGATTGTCACATACATCAAATTATGTTTTTGTATGTAAGATTGTCACATACATCAAATCATGTTTCGCTAAGTACAAGTAAGATTTTCGCAGATCTGTAAGCAGATCATGTTTCTTTACATAAGATTGTCACTAACATCAAGTCATGTTTCTGTAAGTAAGATTTCCGCCAACATCAAAATATGTTTCTGTAAGTAAGATTGTCGCCAACATCAAATCATGTTTCTGTAAGTTAAATTGTCACCAACATCAAATCATGTTTCAGTAAGTACATGTAAGATTTTCGCAGATCTGTAAGCAGATCATGTTTCTTTACATAAGATTGTCACTAACATCAAGTCATGTTTCTGTTCATAAGATTTTCGCCAACAGCAGATCATGTTTCTGTCATAAGATTGTCACCAACATCAAATCATGTTTTTGTATGTAAGATTGTCACATACATCAAATAATGTTTCGCTAAGAACAAGTAAGATTTTCGCAGATCTGTAAGCAGATCATGTTTCTTTACATAAGATTGTCACTAACATCAAGTCATGTTTCTGTTCATAAGATTTTCGCCAACAGCAGATCATGTTTCTGTCATAAGATTGTCACCAACATCAAATCATGTTTTTGTATGTAAGATTGTCACATACATCAAATCATTTTTCAGGAAGTAAGATTACCGCCAATATCAAGTCATGTTTCTGTAAGTAAGATTTCCGCCAAAAGCAGATCGCGTTTCTGTTCATAAGATTGTCACTAACATCAAATCATGTTTTTGTATGTAAGATTGTCACATACATCAAATCATTTTTCAGTAAGTAAGATTACCGCCAATATCAAGTCATGTTTCTGTAAGTAAGATTTTCGCCAAAAGCAGATCGTGTTTCTGTTCATAAGATTGTCACTAACATCAAATCATGTTTTTGTATTGAAGATTGTCACATACATCAAATCATGTTTCTGTAAGTAAGATTACCGCCAATATCAAGTCATGTTTCTGTAAGTAAGATTTCCGCCAACATAAAATCACGTTTCTGTAAGTAAGATTACCGCCAACATCAAATCACGTTTCTGTAAGTAAAATTGTCACCAACATCAAAGTATGTTTCTGTATGTAAGATTTCTGCCAACATAAAATCACGTTTCTGTAAGTAAGATTTCCGCCAACATCAACGTTTGTTTCTGTATGTAAGATTTCCGCCAACATCAAAGTATGTTTCTGTATGTAAGATTTCCGCCAACATCAAATTATGTTTCGGTATGTAAGATTTCCGCCAATATAAAATCATGTTTCTATAAGTAAGATTTCCGCCAACATCAAATTATGTTTCGGTATGTAAGATTTCCGCCAATATCAAATCATATTTCTGTAAGTAAGATTACAACCAACATCAAATCATGTTTCTGTAAGTAAGATTTCTGCCAATATCAAATCATGTTTATATAAGTAAGATTTCAGCCAATATCAAATCATGTTTCTGTAAGTAAGATTACCGCCAATATCAAGTCATGTTTCTGTAAGTAAGATGTCTGCCAATATCAAATCATGTTCCAGTAAGTACGAATTACGCCAATATCAAATCATGTTTCTGTAAGTCAGATTTTTGCCAATATCAAATCATGTTTCAGTAAGTACGAATTACGCCAATATCAAATCATGTTTCTGTAAGTAAGATTACAACCAGCATCAAATCATGTTTCTGTAGGTAATATTTCTGCCAATATCAAATCATGTTTCCGTAAGTAAGATTACAACCAGCATCAAATCATGTTTCTGTATGAAAGATTTCCGCCAATATCAAATCATGTTTCTGTAAGTACGAATTACGCCAGCATCAAATCATCTTTCTGTAAGTAAGATTACAACCAGCATCAAATCATGTTTCTGTATGTAAGATTTCCGCCAATATCAAATCATGTTTCTGTATGTACGAATTACGCCAGCATCAAATCATCTTTCTGTAAGTAAGATTTCCGCCAATATCAAATCATGTTTTTGTAAGTACGAATTACGTCAATATCAAATCATGTTTCTGTAAGTAAGATTACAACCAGCATCAAATCATGTTTCTGTAGGTAATATTTCTGCCAATAACAAATCATGTTTCTGTAAGTAAGATGTCTGCCAATATCAAATCATGTTTCTGTTAGTACGAATTACGCCAGCATCAAATCATGTTTCTGTAAGTAAGATTACAACCAGCATAAAGTCATGTTTCTGTATGTAAGATTTCCGCCAATATCAAATCATGTTTCTGTAAGTACGAATTACGTCAATATCAAATCATGTTTCTGTAAGTAAGATTACAACCAGCATCAAATCATGTTTCTGTAGGTAATATTTCTGCCAATATCAAATCATGTTTCTGTAAGTAAGATGTCTGCCAATATCAAATTATGTTTCTGTTTATACGAATTACGCCAGCATCAAATCATGTTTCTGTATGTAAGATTTCTGCCAATATCAAATCATGTTTCTGTAAGTACGAATTACGTCAATATCAAATCATGTTTCTGTAAGTAATATTTCCGCTAAAACCGAATCATGTTTCTGAAAGTGAGATTTTCGCTGAAACCAAATCATGTTTCTGTAAGTCATATTTCCGCTAAAACCGAATCATGTTTCTGAAAGTGAGATTTTCGCTGAAACCAAATCATGTTTCTGTACATGTTTGGCTGTGCCAAACTAAAGCTAGGTTACTGTACTTAGTATCAGGGATCAACCGATGTTGTAAATACAAATGAGAGATCTGTGACAAACAAATCATATTCTTATCATCGTATTTACATGTCATATATAATAAATTTGTTGATGACTGAATGCCTAAGTAATCTATTTGTTAACAGGTAAGACAACTATTGCAGCGGTGTCCACGTTTGCATCTACAATGTTGCTGATTAGCGCTCCTGCTTTGAGCGAATCAAACTTCTACCACCAGGGGTCACGTGGTCATCTGTTCCGGAAGGTGTTTGGTGTAGCAGATGATGTTTTTCGTGAAGAGAACAATAACAACATAGCTACGCCTGAGGAAGTCGTGGAGTCTGACATCCCCCGGACCCTTCGACGCGCGGGTCCGAGGGTAGTGAATGTCACGCCCCCACATTCCTATCAATCTTTGGGGGAGCTTGGTCCTAGGGTAAGTGTGGTGGAGCCATGCCGGAGACTGCTCTCTGTTGACGAATCCAGCACAGCAGAACCATCCGAAACCGGGTCTCTAATATCAGAGGTAAGGTTTACAACCTCACATATTTACGTATGTGTATATGGTATGGTTCTAAATTCAGAATAGGCAACTAGAGATTCGCTGTGTATTAAGACTTGTGCAATATGAACGGAAATGCAATCTGTCCATAGCATGAGATTGGATTCTTGCTACGTTCAATTTATTCATCATTACATTTGTGACTTATTCCGTAAAGGGAACAGTACAAATTTTGTGAACACGTTCAAGGTAGTAAACTGACCAGCTTCATGGTATTGAATGGAACTTGTCACACTTCAGCCGACACTATCATGATTCGAGACGGAATATCTGTTATTTGTTCAGTAATCTGGTTCTTTGGCTTTTGAAACTGATGTTACCGAAATGTGGCTGCTCTGTTGTGAAATAATTTACAGAATCATCTGCCTATTCGAAAATGGAGCTATTGTTTCATTCAAGAACACCCCTACAGGTGGGAGATCGGAAAAGAAGCCAACTACTGTTACCCACTCGTGTATCGTAAGAGGCGACTAATGTTGGAACCACTGCAGTATTGGGGATTTGCTTTTGTTCCCTCTATCTGGGGACACAAAAGCGACCACAATGAATATGCTTCACCCATTGCAATATTGGGGATCTTTATCTTTCTTTCTACTTCTAACTAACTTTTATTTCCTAGCGCCTTGTTAGGCAACACCTCACTTTTGGCGTTTATGTTGAGCGTTTGCCCAGGTGAGGAACGCAATGGGTTCTGTCCCCATGCCGGGACATACCAAAGTCCTTAAAATATTAGTTGTCATTCCCTGTTTAACGTTCAGCATTTAGAGGAATGGCAACAACTGGTTGACCGGTTGTCAGTATAATGTGACCGGGAGGAATGCTGTGCTGGATACCTTTGGCATGGTATTTCAGCAAGTAGCACTATAAAGTCGGCATCAGATCCGCGCTATCACAAGGAGGCAAGTACACTAACATACCCTGTTTCCTGCATACACACGCAAGCACGCATACACTACACACATGGAGGCACGTCCTTAAATGACCTTAGCTGTTATAGGACGTGAAACAAAAATAAACCAAACCAAATAATTGAAAGAAATTGTTAAATGTCACCTGCTTGTGTCCTTATTTAGTACCGTAAGCGCAAACTATTTATTTAAATACATTGTAATCACACAAAAAAAACATCTTATGCATGTCTTTAGACTTGTAAAACAATGTTAAAACAAACTCATTTCAGATTATGAAATAAGAATATTTCATTGGGAAATTGCTGATAATACCGATATACTGCATGATACTGCAAAATGTTACTAAAACTTCACCTTGTTTCTATGGCAGTAGTTATTTTATGTCCCATACAGTCAATTGCTATTTTATGTTTCCTGTTGAATGTCTCTTTTAATCCTGTCACCACTGTATACCATAATGGACTCATCCAGAGCAATACATGGTAGAGTCTAATAAAGTTGCATAAGGGTGAAAGGGTTAAGCAAAACCTTGGACTTATCATATCCTCTAGATCTTTTCAACTAGTTCCGTTGGCTACCAATCGAAAATAGTGTCTGGCCCTGAATATATACCATACAGGTTTCTGTTATTACCTGCTGTTATTTTCTTACAAAAATATTACCAAATGTGTACTTACATATGTATGTTAATATGTCAATATACATTCCAAATATATACAAAAATAATCACTTATTCTACCATACGTGTGGCTTTATCTGTAGCTGAAACAGGCTAGGGAATATGCAACTTTGAGTGAAGCAAATAGAAATAACGTTCTGATTGGATACTAAAAAATTGTTACGCAATCTTATCTCCAACAAATATCTTTATTCGAGTCAGCCTTACTATTGTGTACTCCGTCATTTGATTCTATGGTTGGATATGTAGCTATGGTTACATGTTGTTGTTACAGAAAAGCGACCAACATGAAGAGGCGACGTATTTGTGATTGGTGGAGTAAGACCTCGTGGACACAAATCTTTGTAAATAACGGAAAAAGACCAAGTGCATGGCATCTGCATATGACGAGAAGGGACCTCAAGTTCATCGATTGCTTTTGTTTGTATTTTTCTCTTCAAATTTATTTTTGTAATAAACTTCATTTCAAAAACTTTATATATGACATATATGATTTAGCAGTCTAGATATTCTTTAATTTACAAAGCAGACATATTAATTCAGTCTTGTATAAAATCTTTAGTTTGGATTTGTTTTCAAAATATAATCTTAATGTGAATTGTAGCCTAAAGAAGAAAATAGGATTCTTTGTTGTGGTCAGATGAGGTGCTAACGAACGACGGAGGCAACGATTTGGTTTGGGTTTTAATTTGTTTAGCGTCCTTCAAACAGCTAAGGTCATTTAAGGACGTGCCCCCTATGAGTTGTGTATGGGTGCATGTGTGTATGTAGGTATGTGTGTTTGAAGCAGGGTACAAGTATGTCGGAGGCAAAGATTGATTCAACTTGATCTTCCTCTATTGGAGCTCTCGTTTTGATTCCGTGCATTTCAGGATACACTAAATTTTAATAAGAACATGAAGTTGTTTCTGCTCAAATGCAGGCACTTTTTATTTGATTCCAATAAGGGGAGATAATCATAAATACACTACTGGTAACGACTGCTGTATCCCATACTGACATTTGATGTTATGTGAACCTTGCAAGCGTCTGCATGACATGGAATGGGAGGTTTTAATCATGTGATTAAGGTTATGATTAAAACAAATAGGTTTCTTTAATCCAGCTGAAAGAAGCACTTTTCAGAGCGAATAAAACCTATATTGTAAACGAGTAAATCATTTTGAAATAAAACCAAAGTCATAATATTAATTCGTTTTAATGAAGAGACTATTAAACAATTATCTCCCTTATCACGTTTGAGTCGCCTCCTGTAGGTGGTCTCTTTAGACAGGTTTGACACTATTTCATAACTATGAAACAGAAAATACTTGTACTAGGTAAAACATGTTCTTCTCGATTTGTGTTTACCATATTATCGTTAATAGAAGACATATGACGTCACACAATTCTAAAGGTATGAAACCAGTTCGACGGTTTTTGCAACGAGTACGTCCAAGTCCGAGCGTATAGTCTGAACAAATCGGTTCCGATAAAATTCGCTTATGCCAATATGTCAACATTTTCCACAATATAAATCTAATAAGGCTTAAATATACACTGTAGTATCTTTCGTTCCTAGCTGACATTGTCACATGTATGTACCTTACTGCCGACGTATATTTTGCCTAGTTGTAAATGATACGTTAGATGTGCGGAACCAAAAGTACATGTAGGAACTATTATAATGATTTGAAGTTAGGCATACGCTTAGTATCCTTTTTTGTTGAAGAATTGGTTTATACATGTATTATGAAATTAATATTGTACAACTGGTAAAACAATGGAGGGTCCAACATCGTTAATGTTCTGATTTGCCTCGGGGACTATATTTTTCGCGGTGTGCCTCGGGGACTATATTTTTCGCGGTGTGCCTCGGAGACTGTATTTTTTGCGGTGTGCCTCGGGGACTTTATTTTTCGCGTTGTGCCTCGGGGACTATATATTTCGCGGTGTGCCTCGGGGACTATATTTTTCGCAGTGTGCCTCGGGGACTATATTTTTCGTGGTGTGCCTCAGGGACTATATGGTTCGCAGTGTTCCCTCGGAGACTGTATTTTTCGCGGTGTGCCTCGGGGACTATATTTTTCGCGGTGTGCCTCGGGGACTATATTTTTCGCGATGTGCCTCGGTGACTATATGTTTCGCGGTGTGCCTCGGGGACTATATTTTTCGCGGTGATATTGTGTAACATGTCCCATCCTTAAACATCCTTATGGTAGTACATGTACAGTAATGAGGTGGGAGAAAACTAATAATTCCCCTCTTTAGGGATAAGACAGAAAAATATCAAACCCGGGATAAGATTATCAAAGATTCTTCGCATCCAACTAAACACTTCAGGATCTAACACATGTATCAAGAGTTGAATATTTTGTCTTAACTCAAAGCGGGGAATGTTTCTATTTTCTATATATATATTAATTAAGCAATAGTCAGTTGTTCAGAAGTCAATAGGGACGGACTCATATCACTGTCACTCAATTTTCACTACTAGGTAACAAAACATAGCTACAGTTACATTACACTATAATCTAGTACAAAACATCATGCATAGTCTAACATGTTTCTCTGTCATAAACAAATACAGTAAAACCTGTCCTAGCCGATCCCTGAGCGTTCAATACACTATTTAATAAAACAATGACAAGATTCCGTTTGTTATGGAAAATTTCAAATTAGACCGACGTATTACGGTATCTTGTCTGAAATAACCTATTCGTTGTGTCCCGCAGGGTGTCGGATTGGACAGGTTTCACCGAAGTTAAAAGTAATACTTCGTCAATTTTATTTTCAGTCTCCACCTCTGTATCGCTTTTCCTCCTTATAATGTCAATACAGAACTATGTGTTGCCTTTACAATAATGTCAGTATAACACAGTTTTACTGCACTTAGTCAAAGTAATTCTACAAATAAAAAACGATCTCATGATCACAGTTTACACAATTATACATGTACGTTAAATAGTCTCTATGGAGAAAATAACACAGAAAACGGTTAACATCTAGGAGGTATGTGTTACTCCCTACTTCATTCTTGCCCCCCCCCCCCCCCCCCTCCTCCTGTAATGTTTTACCTATATCCTCTATTCATAATTCTCTTACTCAACCACTCCACTGTTTAGCAGTGTAACCTACAAAAGGGCATCAATAATATCCCGATTCCAAACCACTGGGCCGTTTTTGTTTTATATATTGGAACATCCAAACTGACAGACAACACAGTGTGACACCAGGCTTCTAAGCTCCTTATCTGTAAAGCTTCTAAGGGTTAATTCTCATTACGATACATATTAATCTTTAATACTGTCATAATTATTAATTCGGAACTACGTTTTATAAGGGTAACATTGGTGCAGTGGGAGTTATCTCCCTTCCCACTATGTACACCAACATTGTAGGTCATACCTCTTTTTGTATTACGCGACGTAATAACAGCCTTTGTGATGTCAGAATAAAAGAACAACAAATGACATCAATCATGACATCACATTTAAGACAACAGCCATGACGTCAGCATGTCCAAGTTTAAACCTGATAGCCGTCCGATTATTTTTTACGGATATTTACACACAAAAGGGTTAATTAAAATTAAGAACCATATTACCTAAAACATGATAAAACCGATCATCTTTGAGTTAAAATAAAGTATAGAAATACTTTAAACGAGACTTAATATCCCTAATTTCACAAATGTTCCTAAATTAAGGAAAATATGCGGCTTTCCCCTTGTGAAAGTATATCTGATATAAATGGTAAATCCAAAGACATTTCTTATCTTCCGTAATACTTTCATAGGAGTAATAATTCAGGGATTTTCTTTAAGGAACGTTCATGAAACTTGGGCCTGAGACGAAGTAAATTTCCAAATATTGTTTAAATCACATATCTAAATGTATTGTAAATTCCTATTCTCCGATAAAATATAAATTTTAATATTCTTCTGGGTCAAAATCGTCCGCAGGGTCAAATATGTCGGACAAAGCCGAGTTCTGCTTTTGGATATCGAAAGCTGACGGCAGCTGTGGTGTTTTGAAAGGTTTCGTTTTGTACTCCGGTTCCTGGTCAGCCTCTGGACTGAGATTGGTGTGCCCTATGTCAAGGGTCGAAGCTGATTGAAGGTCGATATCGATGGAATTCGCCTTCCTCGTCAGTGTGCGGAAGTCTTCTTCACTCTCAAATCCATCTAACCAGTACGTGGTCATCTTACCTTTACCCTGGAATAGAACATAGGCGATGTATTTGTGACACGGAAAACAATACGTACTGACGTTGACCACAATACATGTATCTCGCTAAAATACTTTCTGAAGTAGACAACAAAAATTATTTAGGCGACTGATTCCATAGTTCTAACACGTCCATCGAGCAATTTCGCTACAAAACAAATGAAAACTCAATACCACCATCCCGCTGACAGCCTTCTGCACTGGTCTGACAGACGCTTTGAAATTATCTGTCTCGGTCATCAAAACGTTTGATTTACTCATTTGAGGGGTTTTTTCAAACGACTAGGTGACCGGGACATAATTTGAACAAAGTGAATGATCAGACTAGTACAGACATGTTCATGAATGTCAAAGGTTACCGGGCGCACAAGATGCACTCATGTATATATGAATATATATTACAGTTCAAGCGTTATAACGGTGTATTTATTACAAGTTTCACTGTTACAGTTCAAGCCTTATCAAGGCGTATCTGTAACAGGTCAAGCTCTTCAGTTACTGGGTCCTCCCTCGATGATTTAATTCTAAACCATTAGTTTTTTTCCCCTTCAAATAATTAAAACAATGTCTTAAGAACATCAAAATTAATACATTTTCGAAAAAGAGTAGCGTACGGACCTACAGGCTCCATTTTAAGAGGAAATAACATGTACCTTTAGTAAAGATAGTGATATAAATTTGTTCATTTGTTATTTAATTTCAAACGCATTTTGCGGATGATATACATAATCAATTTTTATCATATTGAATCAATTTCAATGTATTGTAAAACTGTTAAATAATTTTAAGATGTCCCGGTCAATTAAGCATGCTGTAAGAATTTATACGAATCTCAATTATTGGAAACATGAAATGATGTAGAAGCTTGATTATTTGTATCGTATTATTTGTATAGAGACAAATAAGATTACTCTCCATAGAAACAAGTAAACAAAATATACTATACAAAAGCTGACGTCAAACGAGTGAGGACCTACTTTGTACAAGAGTAAGTAAGCGAAGGTGAAGACGATTATGTACATTGTCACCATATATCTATTACCTTAATATCCATCTCCCCTCTCTCAGATATTTTGAATCTGTCATCTTCTTTCAGTAAGCCATTTGTCACGTTGCTAATATGTATCTTTAATGCTGCAGGAGAAGAGAAAACATTCTTTGTTATTTCAGACATTCAGATACTCGCTAATACACTCCCTTGCTACATATGTATTAAAAAACGAAACCGACATAATATTGAAATTAATAGTTGTTTTCAATCTACTGTGCTTAAACATAGTCGACACTACTGCTCTCCGCAGTGCAATACTCAATAAGATTAATATTTGTTATTCCATTTAGTAGATGACCTATGGCAGCTTGCGTAGTGATTTAGACAAAGTCGTATCTACATTTATATCATCACATTTACAGTTTCACGAAAACAAACGTCTTACATACATGTACGTTCCTTGATCTTTACATAAAACCTTAAGTCTTACCTATAAACGTCCTACAAACGGGCATTGACCAACGCATACAGACAAATGCCCAACACATGGTGCATTGACCTGACACGCAGATCATCTCCCAAGAACACGGACCATTACAATAGTAATATTGTTTTACATACCATGGTGGGTTCTTCATCTTCATCTATAAACCCCCTCCGTCAATATTGACGATTACGGAATTTAACATGGAAGTTGATGCAGATAATCGTCTTGCAATCAGCCAAAGACAATTATATGCAGAGGAACATCAAATAAACGGCATCTAGCCCTTACATTGAGACCAGCATACGTACCTTGACCATTAGACTCCATCCGAGATGCCGTATTGACTGTGTCCCCAAACAAACAGTACCGGGGCATAGTAAGTCCGACCACTCCCGCAACCACCGGGCCACTGTGTAGGCCTAATTTAAAAAGTAGCAGAGATTCAGTCAAATCTATCTGCATTTGAACACCACAAAACGTTCAGTTCCGACGTATAATTAATTTAAATCACCTCATAGACCCCTATATCTACGGATGATCAAATAAAACAAATTGTATACCTACTTTTAGATAATAAATTATGCCATACCTCTTCATGAAAGTGTCGAATCATTGTCCACTTGCAGAAATAGTTAACAGTGCAGGCCTAACCATATCAGAAATACATGTACATAACATGAACTACCTGGATAAACGAATTTTGTAAATATATACATGTACATTACAATGTATAAGCTTCAAATATATAGATTTTACTTCCAATTGAACTGTATTTACTCTATTACTCAAAGAGAATGATTAGTGTTGTCACTCTTGTCATTTGGGCCTATCAAGATCAGTTCAACCTTATTATAGTCGATAAAATTTCACAACAGAACCAATTTATTGGCTATTTCCATCGAACTCAGCATTACTCAATATGAGCTTCCTTATTTCGCGTCTCAATTGATTATACAGGTGGATTGTTTACGAAATTGGCCGTACCCATTTACTTATTGCTGTATTTTTTAACAGTATCAACGGTTTTATATGCACTTTCCCGTGTAGTTCTTATACACAAATTAGACATAAAATTTGCGTTTCTTCTACCATTGATATTACGTTATTAGACTACCAAATGGTTCAGTAAAGGTTTACTTTGGCCTTCTTGATCGTCTTCTAATTCTAAATTCATTCTTTTGTTTTATTTTTAACTTCGTTTTCTCAGTATTCCAAAGAAAAACCTATGATTTCTTTGCATCTATCCAATAAAATGTCTATTCACTTAAATGTCCATTTCGTTGTGTTGTTTGGCAAAACATAAGGTTAACTTTCGACAGGCCTCATGCAATACAAAAGGTGTTTCATGATAAACCCCGTAATTTGTTCCGGTACTAGTATTACTCTGACGCGATACGTACCGATACGGATTTCTAGCTGTGCGGTAGGTTTGTGTGGAATCTTGAAGTGTCGCACTACGTTCAAGAGTGCAATCGACACAGATGCCATCTCTGTCACGTGCTTATTGCCATTCTTCTCCGGAAGACCACTAACAATCATATATGCATCGCCGATGGTTTCTACCTGTTAAACACACTTCATGAATTAAGACAGAAATATTATACAAGATATAAACAATATTCAAGATTTGGAAAGTAATTTCAACGTGTGAAGACTATATCCTATATTGATAAAATTACAAACAGAAGGGCGACACCAGCTAGGGTGTTTCGACCTGGAATAAAAGCATTTTTCAATACTGTAGTTCATTATCATATTTAAACATGACATAAATTCAGAATAAATATTTTAACTACTACAGTAATAAGCTGAGCTATCCATACCTAGATACATGTATACCCTGCCGTCTATCAAATTACTCACTTTTAAGCATAATTCAAGTTCATGTTTAAGTACAGATCTCCAATTGATGAAACCTTCGCTGAACTTTCTAGTGTTATGTGACATTCCTACATACAACCATAGCATATTTTCATCTGTATTCTGTTCCGCGGATTAATATCACCTACTATAAGTTGAGCGTACGTACCTTGTAGACGTCAAAATGCTTTATCGTGTCATCGAATACTGTGTAGAGGGCATTTAGTAGGCCCACAATCTGTTGGAGAAAACTAAATATTATTAATATTGTATAAATAGAGTGTCATCGGCAGATCAAGAACGGCTGACCCGGAACGGCAGACCCGGAACGGCTGACCAACAACGGCTGACTTAGACAGGCCGACCCGGAAAGGCAGACTAAGAACGACCGACCCTGAACGTCTGACCAAGAGCGGTCGACCAAGAACGGCTGACCAAGAGCGGCCGATTCGGAACGGCAGACCAAGAACGACTGACAAGAACGGATGACCAAGAGCGGCCGACCAAGACTGGCTAGACCAATAACGACCTACCTAGAAAGGCACACCAAGATACTGTGACTCCTTGTGTTTAAAAGGCTCATACTTAGTTGAAGAAAAGGATAGTAAAATACTGTTTATTACCTGATCAGACAAGACGGCATAGTCAAATACAACAATATGTGTAGTTTTTAGAAGACTATTAACATAATCCTAATCTGTAAAAGGCAAAAAATAGTCGTCAAATTATAGAGGTTTAAGGAGATGCCTACAATTTGACAGAAATAAATCACCGCAATCAATGTGCATAGAGTAAATGAGGTCCACAGTGTGTTTGAGGTAACCTCTTTTGCATTATTTAAAGCGCGATTATTAGGAGAATTAGAGGGCCTACTATCTACTGATTGTCACATACTATGCATGTATATATTGAGTTAAAGGCGTCCAAAATCTGTCAGAGAAATATAAAAGGATATATACAATAGAGGAATCTTTCAATTGGTGGACGAAAATTGGTGATTGCGTCAAACATTCAATTAATTTCCACAAATCTAAAAATAACCGTCAAATAGTTAGAGATTTTTTGAAGTCTAATAATATATTTGCGGTAAAAAAAAATGATTACTAGTATCAAATAATATTTCGATTTTTTATTTTTATTTGGTCTCAGACTAATTGATACAAAATAAGGCGATGGTAAAGTACTGTGATCAGAGTGTTAATGAGGATCAATAATTGATAGGCAATAATCTGATTAAGAGCAGAGAGGCCCAACATTCGTTGGAGAATAAGCAGGCGTCTTTCAAGAATGGTTTCATCGGTCTACAAGGCACCACTTACCTGTAGCGGTGTACTTGCAGCTGCAATTGAGGTAAAACCGACGATATCTGAGAAATAGATTGTAACCATCTCAAAAGCCTCGGCCTGTACTGGCATTCCTATCCTCAATTGCTCTGCTATCTTCCTAAAACGCCAGATAAAATTAAATTAAATTTAGGAATTTTAAATCGATGTTGTGAAGGCGAGCCTTAAAACAGCGATGATTTTAGTTACTAGAAATTATTTAAAGTCATTGGAAGTTTTGCACGTCATGTATTTTGATATTTACTGTCTTGACCTGTATTCATGAAACCATACTGGTGCTCATTCTAAGATTATGCAATTAAGTTCAGCGAGAAATTATTCACTTTCATAATTTAGAGGAACATGATAATAGGTCGAATACCATTTTTAATATTCTACTTTCGGGACATGATTTCAGCGTTGGTTTGAACACAGAATCCATGCTTGAGTATATCATATTCCAATGACAAAATAATGAAATGTTTAGATTTCCGTTACCGTCAGTTACCTTGGTAACATTCTGTAGAGGAGGGACTCTGTCTTGCGTTTTTCCTCCTCCAGCTGAGCCGTCCGCTCGTCTACCAGGTCCTCTAGCTGGTTAGAATATTTCTCCATCATAGTAATCATGTTCTCGATCACGTTAGCTTTCCTGGTCGGGGATTAAAACAGAATTAGAAACTGGATCACGGTATTATATATATAGAATAGATCACTAACTTAAATAATCTGTTTACTTAGGACTTTCTGATCTGTAGGGGTTGATTCTGTCCTAGGTGACCTTTTAGTGATGAACTTTTAATTTGTGATAAGAGGTTTTAATCTTGTTGCACAATAAAACAGTTTATAACGATGATCCACTTGAAGAGATCGATCTTGTTAAGGCGTGGTGTACAATTTAAGAGGTGGATTCACTTGTAACGGCTGATATTCCCTGTTGAAGATTAAGAGTACTGTTTTAGCATTAGACTTACTTGTACAGGTCAACCATGTTGATCACTGGGTACAAGTTTCTTTAGCCGTGGTGGACTGCGTGTTGGGGGCATACCGATGGACTTATTTGTACGGGTTTATTATGTTGAGAATATACTGGTGAACTTATGCATACCGGTAGACTTATTTGTACGGGTTTATTATGTTGAGAATATACTGGTGAACTTATGTATACCGGTAGACTAATTAGTACGGGTTTATTATGTTGAGAATATACTGGTGAACTTATTTATACCGGTAGACTTATTAGTACGGGTTTATTATGTTGAGAATATACTGGTGAACTTATTGGTACAAGTATATTATGTTGAGAATATACCGCTGGACTTATTGGTACAAGTTTATTATGCTGAGAATATACCAGTGGACTTACTTGTAGGGATTAATCTTGTTGAGAATATACCAGTGGACTTACTTGTAGGGATTAATCTTGTTGAGAATATACCAGTGGACTTAATCTTGTTGAGAATATACCAGTGGACTTACTTGTAGGGATTAATCTTGTTGAGAATATACCAGTGGACTTACTTGTAGGGATTAATCTTGTTGAGAACTTTTAGTACAGTTTTGGCTGTTGGCCGGAATGACGAGTCCTCGTTCCAGCAGCGCTCCACTAATCTCTGTATGCCTCCGATCTGTTTAGCTGCCGGGAAGCTGTCGCTGAGCGCAGAAAATTTCGGGCGACAGAGCAAACCATCCTTCGGAATCAGGACATTCCGGATTATCTCTGCAAAATTAAATTCATAAGTGATTGAAAATAGAATATTAGAACATCCGTTTCCTTTTTAACATACCTCATGTGTTACTTGTAAGCGACTCTTGGAACGTACCGGAGGTTGCGAAAAGTTCTCCAAAATGTCCTAAAAGGTACGGTTTTGATTTGAACGACTGACGTGAATGTATCCATTTATCTATTCATTTTAATGTGGATTCTTTGAACATATTTCATACTATTTATTTAAAAAAAAAAAGGTTACTCAGGTCTTCTTTAGTTTAACGTTATTCAGTTTTAATATCCTTTATTCGATTTGATTCAAACGAATATTAAACAAATACAATTCTGCTGGTTTTGTCTAAATTTCACTGTCTAAAACACGTCAAACGTAACGGTTATTTTACTTGTGTCAAAAAGCTTGGAACTGTCCTTAAATGTCACACACAAAAGAAAGTTATAAGATAACATTCAAACCAATCCATTATACGTCGTTGTGACGTCATCTTGTAACATTTAAGATACACCATCACTCGTGTGTAGTTTTCGAAATCCCCTCTGTAAAAGACAACCAATTTGTCTGTGGTGACACATTTCAAGGGTAAGTTGTACCGAACAGTTTAGTTTCAATATACATTACAGTGTACAGTACACCTCGTTTTATTTGACACCTCACCTACTTCCAACGTTTCCAAGACGACATTTTCTTTTTTCAAAGCATTGGCTATAAGGGTATATCTCAATATCTTACTAAACCGCTTTATAACGCCAGACTTGTATACTGACTAAGTGGTGACACTTTACCATTGTTTAACTGTATCAGACATGTGCCTACCTTCTGCTGTTAAATCCATGGTTTGGTATGGCGGTTCCCTGGTCACTATCTCCATAGCGACGACCCCAAAGCTGTAAATGTCTCCAGCTGGTGACCCAACCCTCATCCGTTTAGTTAATGCTTTCTTAAGGAATTCAGGGGCGGTCCAAAATAATGCTGCAAGTACAATAGTGCATGGGGTAAACTGATCAGAAAACATTTATCAATGAATACCAGTAGCATGCGGCGGCCACTCCAACAGTCTTACAAGGGTTATACATGTACATTATTTTAATTATTTTAGTTTTATCTCGATGTTTTTTCTAGTTTTTAGACTTGACAACCACACTAATTAGTCAAATGATGACGGAATGTTTTTTTGTTTTTGTTTTTTTCTTAAAAAAGTAACTAATAACGATTAATCTACATATCAAATTGCTTGTTTTTCTTTAGAACGGAATTCTATTAAATGACCACGGTAGTACGTGCCTACCTCTGTAACGGTGCTCCTCCGACTCATTCGGGTCTAATTCAGCACCATTCATCAGATAGCGGGGTCCGAAATCGGTAAGTTTACAAGTCCATCTGCTGTCCACCACACACGTGGAGCTCTGTAGCCCTCCGTGGAACCTGAGCTCAGACCGATGAATGTACTCGAGTCCCTGGGACATAACATTAAACGATATTTTGTATGAATAATTAAACTTTAAAAAAAATCTAATCTCGATTGTTTGCGAGATACACCAGTGCCGTACGATGTCTATGTATGTATCGATACTGGACAAAAATACTTTGAAAACAAAAAAACAATTTGAAGAGAAAACACCAGAAACAAATAGTTTTGAAAGTTTTGCGAATAATCTACAAGATGTTTCAGACACACAGAAAAAATGGCATTTGCATACCGCGTGTGTGAATTTATAAACCATCATGGTCGTTGCATCGCAGTTTTGAAAATGAAGAATGGTGACAACTCACCTTACAAATATCTACAGCCAGTGACAGTTTAAACATAACTCACCTTACAAATATCTATAGCCAATGACAATTTAAACATGGTGTCTAATTTGATGTCGTCATTATCCAGGATCTCCTGTAAGCAGAGTAACTCCATGTTAAGTAAATAATTCTAACGACAACTGAATATCGAACCCCGCTCATCCGGGTTCTACTAATGCACCGACATTTATAGTAGATATTCTAGATAATGTTGAGATTCATCAGGGATATATTTCATAAAATGTCATAAGCTACCACCGACTTAAGTCAATGAGGGAATTCCCTGTTTTGATTACAATATGGGTGCCTTCTATTTGATGGCATTGTTACAGTATTTTGACCCAATCCCCCTCCATATTCGTACGCGGTCATATAGGTCAGCCAATAATAATTACATAAATTAACAGTAGATACATTCAGGTTTAAACAAGGTACGAGATGATGTTATGATTTGTGAGAGAGTATATCAAGATACTGTACTTTATCTCTATTCAGATAACTTCATTTATCTGAAATTTGAAAATGTCGCTCTATCTAACCATGATGTTGGAAACAACACTGATGATTAAATATTTAAATACTTTTTAACAATGTCTTCATCGTCGATTTATTTCGGACTTCCTTCCTAACCTTTGTATCGGTGTCTTCACTGTATCAGCAGTGAGTCGCAGCTCGTTTATTCGACTATGTTTACATATATTCTGCTATGTTTCTGTAAGTGTCCAAAACTTTATTATGTAGGATAAGAATGTACTGGGATGTTCCAGTGAAGCTTGTGAGGTGACATGGTTGTTACTAAGTAATGACTGAAAAAACTAAAAATCCACATTGCGGTTCCGCGCCATCCCTCTATATGTAAATGATGAATTTTGGTTCTGTTATGTTGCCGACAAATCGCTGTTAGAATTTAGATTTGCACTGCATTTAGGTTTTGTTTATTGTCTCTTGATCCAGATGTTCCGAAAGGAAATTAACGGAAATTAAAGACACAGAAATGCACACAGCTGTGCCAAAATGTTGTTTATAGATCATATCTGTAAATATGTTGTTTTCGGTACAAATTTTAGCAAATTTGTGACGTGTTGGATCTGATAACTGTAAAAGGAAACATTTTTTGTAAGCAAAATATTACTTTATTACCTGGAGGCTGCCTTTTGCGCAGTATTCCCATAAAACGCAGATGTGACCAGGATCAGTACAGACCCCCCGCAGTGTTGTCACGTTGTTATGTTTCAGATCCAGTAGCTGAAGAAAAACATATACTATCGTTCATTTTAATGAGAGAAATTCGTTTGAATGTTTTAACAATCATTTCAATACAGTATTTTCTTTAAAAAAGGCAGGAAAATAGTTTTCTTGCCTTTTTCAAAGAAAATAATTCATTTTGTAACATCGGTATTATTACTTGTGAATGTACATATAGAACACGCTTCTTTTCAAAATCAATCGCATAAGGACGGTTATGGTGTAGGAATTGTTTGAGATACAATGTAGTATTATAATTAGACGGTAAACTAACGCAGTATGTCGACCACTTCAAAAAGCTACAAGATGCCGTCGCAATAGGGTTTCACGTGATGGAAATATTTGTTTTTTAAGAGACATCGGAGTTTTCAAATCGTTACAGCATTACCCTGTTATATTCACATTCCATACCATTTTCATTTCTTTCAGCAATGTCCTGTCTGTGGTTGCGATCTTTTTCTTCCGAATGTGTTTGACTGCCACAACGGATCGTTTGAACCTGGCAATGGCCACGGAACTGTGCTCCTGCTTTTGTATGGCCTCGGAGAATGAGTCGGTAAGAGTTGTCTGCCCATACGTGTATTCGGTTTGTCTATCAGTCCCCAAACTTTTTGTACTCTTGTTTAAGCGATTAGAGAAATTCTGAAATGTTAAAGGAATATCAGTTTCCATGCGGCTGAGGTATTCATTAAAGAGTACAATGCACGTATGTCCAAACAAATCCCCCGTCTGTAACGACCGCCTGTCCACAGCTGCAGCGTGACGTATAACGAATTCCTTAAACATGTTTTCTATTCATAATAATACACTTTCTGCAACGAACACCTGTCTATAAAGACTGAGGTTGCTCTCTCCCGTGGACTGTATAGACAGGTCACACTGTCCCTACTCTGTAACAAACACACTTTATATCCGAATCATCGTCAAGAACCTAAATTTGTAAAAGAAAATAATCGATAGTAAAATTCATTTTTTATGCTATGCTACATTTATTATCTTACGTGCTAATTTCTTCATTCATTCGCCGTCACCTTCAGTTGGTCACACTTTGCTTAATGAAGGAAGGAAAAGCAGTAAGTTGTACATTATTGCGGTTATACATGTACACTGAGTTTCGGATTCAGCATAGAATAGTTTATGAACACACGAACACAAAGAAACCATTTGTGACTGAAATTGTACATGGTCTACTACAAAACTAAGACTTTACATTGTTGAAGTGATATTACATTTACAGTGATTAACTATAGTACCTACCGTTAACGAACGATTCCTTTTACCGGCCTCAAAATCCAGAGCGTTGAAGGGGATTTTCCAACCCATATTGTTAATTTCTCTCTCGCGTCGCCAGAACCTGGTCAATAAATACAATAGCAAAACCGATAGTTTGTAGCATTATTTAATACCTGTAGTATAACTGTATTCAAGAAATTATAGAAATTACGACTGAACAACTTTCCGATCAGTTAACAGATCGGTATAATCAAAACTTAAATAAATGTAATCTTTCATTTATATGATGGTGACGTTGTTATAGTTCAAGCATAAAGCCATTTTATATCAAACATTGAAAAAGGATCAAGCTGCTTCGAAACCCGACTTTATTTTATCCACACTAGTACTGTCAACATCATTTAGTGTCCTATAATGTTATATATTTATATACATGTATATCACATATTACGTACCTGCGTACATGTACATGTACATGTATGTCTTACATATACCTGCATATACCTGCATAACTTACCTGAGTATCTGTATGTCTTACCGGTATAACTTACCTTAGTATATGTACGCCTTACCTGTATAACTTACCTAGTTACATGTATGTCTTACCTGTATAACTTACCTGGTTACATGTATGTCTTACCTGTATAACTTACCTAGTTACATGTATGTCTTACCTGTATAACTTACCTAGTTACATATATGTCTTACCTGTATAACTTACATGGGTACATACGTGTCTTACCTGTATAACTTACCTGGGTACATGTATGTTTCACATATATAACTTATTTGAGTACCCGTATGTCTCACCTGAAAATGAGTAGGAGTACAAAGAGTAATCCCACCATTCCGACAGAGAGGCCAACATACAGTCCGACTTGCGATGCTGAAAAGAGAGACAACTCTGATCAATATATGTTTGTACAACCTTCGGGAGGCAAATACCTGTAGCACAGTTCACTTCTTTAACTTTACAAAATAAATAACGTTTCTAAATGTGAGCATAAGAGAAATAAGCGAAAATCAATCAAACATGTCCTTTTGTGTTCGTTTTACAGTGTGAATGTATAGTACATGCCAATAGAGAAATTTGTTTCAATCATCATTAGCGGTTCTCCTGACCATTTCACCAATGCAAAGATTTCATCGATCTGATGAAACAGTTATAACATAAAGTAAGACAACACGCACGTTTCTATAAACTTATAATAATACATTACGCTGCACCTACTTCATTACCATTACCTGAAAAATACATTTCGTTAAACTATGAAAGCAATTTAAGCCCTCGTGATGTAGCACGTGCTTTATTGATCATGGTAGAAGAAAGTCTTATCGTTTTGCTTCATACACATTTGTATCATGGAGAATGTCTCTGCTTAAAACACTCGAATGGCTAATAAACTATTGTTGGTTGTCTAAATAGAAAGAGGTATGGCGGAAAACTGCCCGTATTTCCCTAAGTCGGCATTTATGAAAACGGGGGAAAAAAATCAGGAGTAAAACATTTCGTGTAGCAAAAATGCATACAAAAGATACAAAACCAATTGAATATGAATTTTTAAACTGCTGAGAAATTAGGTATTGCTAATACATGTATGATACTGCAAATATAGCCATATACACTATATCTATGAAAGTGATGGGGTTTCCCGGAGTTAAAAAAATACGTTCAACACTTTCCCATCCGAGGACCAACTTTTGAATAAACTTTTTGTGACCGTGATGTAATATGCAAAAACAAATCGTATTACGGAAAAGTGGTCCTCCTTTGGGAAAGTGCTCAAAATAATGAAAAATAGGGGTGATCAAGTTTCTCTCAACTGCGACCGGTGTTTCTCGGGTTAAATAAGTTCGTAATTGCCAATATCTATATGTTATATGTAGCCGAATGTGTAACGCAGTTTACTTGCGACTAGAAAATAAACGGTGCAGGTTCGAATCCTCCTTCAGTTATTTTTTTTTTTAAATATTTAGGCATGCTACCTGTATAAAAATACCTGAGGACGCGTCATAACAGTGCACGATTGGATGTGCGCACTAGCGTAACATAGCTTTGGGGAAATAGGCATAGCAACCCGCCATATCTCTTTATTGATTAACTTGAATCTTTTTCAATATTCATGTAACGAATTGAATACTGGTAAATCTCTTTTCAATGCAATAAAAAACCGTGTATGAAATGGAAGGGGCTGAATCCCTTCTATTCTCCCCCAAACCGCTACACGCTAGACCCTCCCTATACACACAAAGCTGGTGCACATCATAACCCCTATAATTACACTCACGCCTCCCGCTTTACACTCCATACTTCCTTACTCGTTTGTTTGTCCCTCTCTTCATCTCCATTCAAACAAAACCATCCCTCTCCACACTAGACTGCTCAGTTTGCATTTCCCTGTAGGTATCATAAAGGGCTCTAATTGCCGGAGGAATACATAAAAGACACATTCACAATTTAAATCTTTGGAAACAGCTGATCTGTTGTACAAAATTGCAGCAAATTTAAGACCACGTGAAGTATCATTACGTTTCAAGTGTTGCGAACTTCAACACCTTTCTTCTGGTTTGATTTTAGATAGATAAATCATGTGTATTCAGTGATTATTTATATATTGGCAGTATATACATGATTGACATACAAAGGCAACATGTCATATTATCATGTCTGTTATATGTTACAAGGTGTCTGATCACATGACCTGGAGATAAAACAATGTGTCTCCTTGCACACGTGCCTCCGCAGTAGCGTGTGCAGAAATATCGCCCTTTGGAGAAGTGACACGTGCCCATTTTTGGAATTTCGAACGTTCATTAGCTCTTTTGCTAATATACTACATGTACCAATGTATGTAGAATGGTGTTTTAGTACCTAAATGTCATGTGTACAGCCTTTCGCAGATATGGTGTCTATTGTTTCTAGGGTTATCAGATAACAAGGATTTAATTATTAATGTGTTTATCTAATGGTATCGGTACCATTTTACATGTGACTGATTAGCTACTCTAACGGCGGAACAATGATTCCCATTTAAATATAAAAATTCACGAACTGTCGGCCAGCGTGGACTAACTTCACCGCAATATCACACGGACGAACGGTATGTCTACACAGGGAAAATGTTACACATGCTAAGAAATGTATCCTCATGATTGTTTAACATGTAACAGACATAACACAAGTAGTACTGTACCAGTAGTCCTCATCGACAGTCACTAAACACGCCTATACTAGATACAAATGTACATTATTGGAAACGCGCCGCGGATTCAAAGAAGATCGATTTTCACGGAAAATGTCCCACAGAGAGAGAGCTGAGCATTTGTTTCCCGATATTGTCACTGACAAACTATCCCCATTCATAAATACAACAATTTTCAACATGTGACACACATGAATAAGATAAGCAAGATGACGTGATGTGCAATACAACACACTTTCGTGGGTTTACCTTATCTGTCCGTGTCGCCTTTCCTGTTAGCGCTCGTGTACGTTTCAAGTTTACCTGTCGCCTGTCCTGTTAGCGCTCGTGTACGTTTTTACCTGTCGCCTGTCCCATTGGTACCTGTATTAATTTTTACCTGTGGGAGTCGGCGGCTGACTTGTTATACGGAGATGATCGATACAGTCCTATAGACAATTTTGCAGTAATCGATTTCCGTATATGAAGTCACAAGCTCTAGGGTTGACAACTCTCATTAATATTCAAACAAACAAATCCAGCACATTCGTATTTAAAATTATGTGTTTATTATACACGTGTATGTGGGTGAGTGTGAGTTAAGTAAATAGAGGACATGTGTGGATATGTAGGCATCGAACGTATCCCAGACCGGCGCCCGCAGGATCGTGCACGTGACAACCCTCAGAGGGACATAGCGATCTTATGACGGTACATTTGTACATGAATCTCTTTAGAACCAACTCTGTAGCAAGCCCGTACCATAGTTTTCCTGTTTTCGCTAACCTGTTCTACAAATGTAGCTTAATATAGTCTGTTCTAGCAAACTTGTCATTTAGTTGATCTGTTTTAGCTAACCCGTACTAGCTAACCTGTTCTACAAATGTAGCTTAATATAGTCTGTTCTAGCAAACTTGTCATTTAGCTGATCTGTTTTAGCTAACCCGCCCTAGCTAACCTGTTCTAAAATATGTAGCTTAATGTAGTCTGTTCTAGCAAACTTGTCATTTAGCTGATCTGTTTTAGCTAACCCGTACTAGCTAACCTGTTCTACATATGTATATATATGTAGCTTACTCATCCTAGTTACATATGTAATGTAACCTGTTCTAGCAAACTTGTCATTTAGCTTATCTGGTTTAGCTAACCCGTCCTAGCTAACCTGTTCTAACCAGTAAATAGTCCGAGCAAAACGTCCAAACTGCATCGGAACATGTCATAGCAACCCCATGCTATACAGCTAAAGAGTGCTAGCTACATTTTTGTAACATGGCGTCCCTACATGTGGCTAACTCGTCCTACACTGAAGCAACAAATGAACACATAACTTAAGTCACAATCACAGTACCATGGCCAATAGCAGACAGGTTATAAAACTGCTAACTGGAGTAAGCGAGATCCGTTATCATAAACAGGTTTGCTTTTTAAGCCGCTCTTGGCGAAAGCCGAGCGTCTTATTAATTCTGTTCAGAGAACGAAATGACGGACCCACTACCGTTCGGAGTGCGTGCGCATAATTCAGTCTTGCATGCTTCCGCTATATAGTTTCGTTATATATCGTAAATAGAAAGTAGAATCTCTGACACTCACCTGTAGGTTACATAAAGTCTTCTGATACTCTTCTACAAATAATAATCCATACTTTAAATAATTGCTGAAAACAAAATGTTCAACTCCGGTGCATTCTACGAGTGCACAGGTGCACAGGTGCTCGGATTCCAGAACCCGAGCACCTTCGGTGTTGTGGTGGTGAAATTCGTGCACTAGGTTTGAGCGTTTAAGAAACTCGGATTGCGGTCTGAGGAGTGTTACGCGTGTGAAACACATATGATTCGAGAAAGCACATGTGAAGACTGTCAAGCATTGACGCTGTCTGTAGAAGGAAGAAGTAAATATATATACTTATAACCCTTATGAGTGATGAAGTATAACCTCTATTTTGATGTTTGAAACGGGAACCTAATTTGACATATCGTGCTAAGGTTGATAACGGTAATGGCTCGGAGACGAGACGATATGTGAACTGTGTATGTATCAAACATTTCTGCAACACAGCATGGTATTCTGGTGTATTGATTTATGAAAGTGTAACAATTTAAGAAAATGACACAACAGCCGCTGCTGTTTGACAAGAATTCGCGCCGTGTCAAAATATTATCCAATCCGGTGTAAGGGAAATAACTCTTACGTTGGTAAAGTCGCATTGAGAAATATAATTCAAATATATTCCAAGAACATTTGTGAGATTTTGAAGCTACATATATTAATAGTTATTATTAATATGAATAAAAAATAAATAAAAATATAAGGAGTACAATGTCTCTTTTCTCATACATGTTTTCCCGCTACTGTTAATTATCCTTCATTTCACAAGCACAAAATGCACCTATTCTTTATTATCCATTCACCGATTGCCACGTATATGCTCATGCCACATCATTGGAGGATGCTAATTAATGAAAATTACAACAATGCGTCACACTTAAAGAGGGTGAAAAAAGAGGAGAGGGAGAAATGTTTTAAGGCATCATTTAAGAGGCGATTGATTTTGAAAAATCCCAAAGGCAACATCATCTGATTTTCAAATGAAGAATAAGTAAAAGACTGGTTGTTTTTTCTACAAGACGTATACATATGAATGTTTTTTCTTTCCTGCATACATGTACATGTATCTAAATTAGAGTTTCGTCCAATAGGGACTGTTTTCTAATAATGTTTATGCTAAGATGATAGACATATTTTTTGTAATAATGTTAAGTTATATAGCTCGTCGAAATTGAATGTAGTCAGAAACTCACGTCGGCTTCTCGCTCTACAGAATCGAATTGATTGTGAGTTCGTAATACTGTACCGGGTCATCCTCTATTAGAGTAACCTCCCCTTGTTACCACCCTGAAATTTGGCGTGGCAACCATATCATAGGTGGGGATCGAGCTGATACATGGTTAGATAGGTTGTCGTCTTGGTTAACAGGGTTGGAAACATGTACATGTCTGATACTTCTCGTAGCACTATAAAAATCAACCTAAATTCGTTCCCCAATTTTCTTAATATGTATAATTTGTAGGCAGGGGAGACAACTTTAGTTAATATGTGTTTGTATTAGGCTTTTAGCTGCTTTTTGGTAATGTCAATTTGTGGTAGTGGTTCCTAAGAGAAGGGGTTCATACGGTTCAGGAGTTCAGGAACCTCCTAACATAAGTCTGCCAATTTTCCAAAACAATAATAATAAATTTGGGGAAATCCTGCAACGAAACACCACTTAATTACCTATACCCCTTGATCACTCTCTGGGTGTATGCGCCTCTTTAACAGTTGTTTTTTAACTATTGGCTAAGTGATGTCATCAATTGTATGTCTCATTAACTACAAACCTGTCTCCTCGATACACAGTTCCCCGTGGAAACCACAGACCGGGACGTCGGGTGGTATGTACTCCTGGTTAGTCCGCCCGTCGCCCCACCGGAAAATACCTACGAGCGAATCCTAGAAATAACAGCGAAATATTACGCAGCTGAAAGCTAAACGTAATTACATGAGGCAAAGCATACATAGTTCAACATGTATAACTACACGTACATCCGCCCTTACACCAACGGCCACCTTTATCCTAGTTATATAAAATACAAACTTTATTTACTTCACCACAATACTGAAACAATAGTATTCATTCTTGTTGGCCAGGATATTAGTGCGCTATCCACTGCACCACCCGACCACCGATTATGCAAATTCATCGTGTACCCGATGACACCGACTTTAAAATAAAATGTCAAGTATTCATTTGTTGCTCGAGTTTCCCTGCCATATTACTTTCATTAGGAGAAAATCATTTAGAAAGAAGTATTGCGCCTGAGTTCCAAGTGACAAGCAGAAAATCACATCGGCGTGTTACTCTTTACTGATCATGATATCGATCTGTCATGTTGTAATAGCCTTTCCGTCAGAAAATGATATTCTTTGTTTCCCTTTGCCCTTGTGAAACTTGTTTCCTCTCGGGGGG